TTCTGGTTTTCTGGTTTTCTGGTTTTCTGGTTTTCCGGTTTTCCGATTTCATGTTTCCAGCCATGACCAAATCCACGAAATTTTGCTACTCCTGCGTTTTTTGCAATCGTTTAGACGTAGCTTAACCATCTATACGGGCTGTACAAGGATCTCCTATGATTTCGATCCAGCTGACAAAAATAATAACACGAGGCGACGCCACAATCACCATGAATGCGCGTTTCCGAGTCATTTCAGGCGAGATGGAGTCAAACGCATCTGTTTACATCCTAAAATCAAAGGGATTTCATAATTTACGTGGTGCATATTTAAAAACTGAATTGCATTATCTCTCAAACGTTTCTTGCTCACCTTGACTCCGACCACTTCAAAAGACACCACAGCCATTCCACCATTGCTGGCTGTGAACAGCCTAATCCGGGAATTCTTCACTTCAAGTGCAGCGCAATGCCTTGTGGTTATTGCCCCCACCCTCACCCCCCGAAAGATGCAAACACTACCCACTGAGCATCACTCACAATCTGTTGATAATGGCAAATTTTCAGTTTACCATTCATTTTTCCACCACTCTGATTCCCCCAGAAAAATTTGGTGGGGGTGTGTGGCCCACTTCCCAAAACCCTTACCCTATTTATGCCACAACGGTCTTGAACAGGGTATCGAATTTTTGGCCAGGTCAATAATAGGGTAGCAAAAATCACAGATTTTGGTCATAAATAGGGCAAGGGTCTTGGGAAGTGGGCTGCACACCCCCACCCAACATTTCTGGGAGTACCTCCCCCAGGGGGGGTTGGCACAGTTGCCCTAAACATATTTATGAAGGGCTTTTGTTCACGGTCTTATTGATAATGATGAAAAAGTAGCTTCTTCTAAGAAACATACCCAATTCAAGACTAGAGTTCTAAAACCATACCCTATTTAAGACCAAAATGGCCAAAATTGATACCCTATTCATGACCAAAATGGCTGAAAAACCCAACCCTTTGGGTCCACACATACCCATATAGCCAATATAAGGGAGTAGCCCCCCCCCCCCCTCCTCCGTGGTCTGATTCATAGTTTGTTTATGGAAATGATATCTGTTAACAAAGTTAACACTGTTCTTCTTTTTGTAACAAATTTCCAGAGGAACTCTTTGTTTCAGCAGCCAATAACTCTCTGGTTGGCACATTATTAACTATTGACAGGAGCATGCTATTGATAATTATAACATGATAGGTGACATCACTACTAACTTTGCTAGTTGATTCTTTTGGAGTACAAGATCTAGTAGGAAAAAAATTGCATCCAGATTGGTATATTTGTAATAAAAAAATTGCACAATATTTACGCCTTTGCTGTTTTGTCAGCAAAGAGGGAAGAGCAAAGAGTAGGAGGCTAATACTAGGGTGTACATGATACCAAAACTCAAATTAATTAAGGTGGTTTTATAGCAGTTTTTGTATTCACATAAAATTTATGGTTACTCAATTTTTTTTACACCCTTCTCAACCACTTGCTGGCGATGATATTACTTTTGTTATCATCGAGGAACTCTCTCTTTGACCTCTACAACACCTTACTATCCAATTTCTGCTCTATAATCTGTCCAGTGATCACTTTTAGCTCTAAAAGTGATCGCGGTCACTTACGAGAGGGGGTTGCTTGAAAGAGGTTCCAAATATAGTGATTTGACTTGGAAACTCATCAACAAACCAAATAATTAGTTATAAAGGTTCTTTCTTCCGCAGATATAACAGTAGGGATACTGGAACCATGAACACTTGCCATTTTTTTGACCATAGAATAAAGGCTCATCACATAATGTATAATTTTAGCATTTTAAAAGTGTAAAAACACTAAATACTCTTGTTAAAAGGAAGAGCCTGCATTCTATAGTCAATAGAAAAAGGAACAAAAGAATATCAAGCGTTTGCAGTTTGAGTGTCCTTACTGTAACAAAAGGTTCCAAGTCTCTAAAAAACATTTCAAAGGCAATTATCATCCCTGGAATTAATTATACACAAGAATTATCTCAAGAGAGAAAAGTTGAGCTGATAGACCTCGGGTTGCCAATGCAACCAATTTTTTGCAATTGTGACTAACTTTTCAAGCTTTTAAACAAAATACTTTTGCTGGTGACTAAATCTGCAAACTTAGGGACCAGCTGGCCCCAAGGTTTTTCCCTGAATGTTGAGCCCTGCAGACAGTTGCATAAATGGAGCCCAAAATTTGAATAACAAATTATGCTCTATATGTCCCAAGCCTCATGTTAATGTTTCCAGACAAAGGATTGTTCACATAAATGTGAGGCCTGGAATGTCTAAGTATTGCTACTCAAATACTGGTGTCATTTATGCAAAGTGTCTTTGAATTAGAATACCAGAACTTGATATTTTCTGCCTTGGGCTAGTTTTGCCAAGAATGTTCAGTCTGCTCCCTCCAACAAACCCTTGACACATTTGTTTGTGTGATTGGCCAGATACTTTTGTAGACTAAATTCTTTTCCACATAGCCAACATTGGAATGGCCTTTCACTTGTATGTATCTTCATGTGTTCTTTTGTGTACCAAGCTTTCTTAAACTTTTTTCCACACACAGTGCATGGGAATGTGTCATTGTTGTGTACCTTTTCATGAGCTTTCAGAAGACGTTCTTGTCTGAAAGTCTTTTCACAATGAGTACATTTAAATGGGTTTTCCTTATGTACCCTTTGGTGAACTTTGAGATCGGATGTTGCTGCAAATAAACGATCACATAGAGTACATTTAAATGGTTTTTCTTTAGTGTGTTTTCTCCGCATGTGTATTTTCAAAACGTTTGATGCCTTAAATTTCTGGTCACATAATGTACACTTGAACGGTTTTAAATTGCTGTGAATCATTCGTGCATGTGATTTCTGCTCCCACAATGATTTAAAGTGTTTTTCACAAAGTTCACATTTGTAAGGCTTCTCTCCAGTGTGTATTCTGGAATGTATCTGAAAATAACATGATGATTTGAAAGACTTGTCACATTGTGAGCACTTGAATGGCTTGTTTCCACTGTACTTGAATCGTTCATGGGACTTCAGCTGCTGTCCTTGGGCAAATGACTTATCACATTGTGAGCACTTGTAAGGTTTGTCACCAGTGTGGGTTCTGCTATGAACCTTTCGTTCAAAAAAAGTTTTGAATGTCTTGGTACAGTGGGGGCATTTAAATGGTTTGTCACCACTGTGGCCTCTTTCATGGGACCTACGATACTCAGCAGTTCGAAAAGACTTTGGACAATATGTGCACTTAAAGGGCTTCTCCCCACTATGGATCCTCACATCAGTTTTAAGTTCAGAAGAAATGATGAAGGATATATCACAGTGACAGCATTTATACGGTCTTTCTCCTTCACTGTGCAGCCTCATTTTGTGATGTTTCAGCTCCTGGGAGCGCTTAAAACTCTTCTCACACTGATCACATTTGTGAGGTCGATCACTGCTATGGATTTTCTTGTGAGTCACCAGGTTACTTGACTTTGCAAAACATTTTCCACACTCACCGCATTTATAAGGCTTCTCTCCTGTGTGGATTCTTTCATGAACTTTTAAGTATTCTGGATCTTTATAGAACTTTTCACAATAAGTACACTTGAACAGCCTTTCTGCTGAAGTATTAGTGTGACTGTCAAGACCTGATTTATTACTTTGTCCAGCATTTGAAGGATGTGAGGAATGTTCCGTATCCTGGCCATCATTCTGAGCTGTGTTTCTGTTCATGGATCTTGCTGAAGCATTTGATGAATTCCCATTTCCAGTAGCATTACAGACCTATGCCTTTGAAGACAATCCATTCGTCAAACTTTTCTCCTTCATTTCAACTTTAGACATGTTGTTGAAGATGATTTTTGTATGCTCTTTATCTCTAGATTTATATGTACTGGTATGTAAACATTTGTGGTCCTATGCTCCACTCATGAAGGAGCGAAGAGGATGAGTGATGAGTGGTATGTAAATATAAGATAAGCAACTTAAAAACTGGTGAGATAAAAAAAAAAATGCTGTTTTGTATCCAATCAAATGAAGTATTATGACTGGGGAGGGAAGACATATATGCATACATGTGGGGTGTACATGTTAACTTATGTATCTTTTCCTTTGCACAACAATGCTACATATAAAAGATAACCAATGAAAATGAATGACAAAAAGATTAAGTAATAGTAATTGGACCGAGTGGAGTACAATTCAGGGAGTAATCGGGCAATTAATTTCAAAATCGGGCATGCACAAAGCACGAGGCAGATTTGAAATTATGGAATTAAAAATGTCTTTTGAGAAATTCCTTTGAGCGAAAACGGAATTTCAGAATTAAAAATGTCTTCTGAGAACTTCTTTTGAGTGAAAACATCTGTATTGCTTTTCATATGTTTTGAGAACTGTAGGAAACATGGTGAAGGAAGCCGTTAAAGTGTGCATAATTGACATGCAAATCATGAGGGCATCCAATTACAGGTATTCAATTACATAAAGTTCAAATTGGATACCTGTATTATTGGACACCCACATGATCACGCGCTGATATCGTGACAAATAGGTGCACGGAGAACCAATCACGATCAATAATTTTGTTATAGATATGATTACTCCCTGAATTGACATGAGGTCCAATTACTAATTAATTGTACCAATAACAAAATTTTGGATCAAAAAAGTCTTTTTAGAACTTCTTTTGAGCAAAAAAGTGAGTCGTGCTTTCCACAACTGTAGGAAATATCAAGAAAGCCATTACAGGGCACATAATTGACGTATGAATGGTGAAGGCATCCAGTTACAGGAATCCATAAATTATTAAAACTTGTTGAAACTGGATACCTGTAATTGGACACTCAGGTGATTGCGTGCCGATTATGTGACAAACAGGCGTGCAGAGAACAAATCAAGATCGAGAATATCGTTATAGGTACGATTAGTGTAGTAATCGAATTCACCATTAAATAGGAGTTCGACTGCGTTCGATTGTCGAACTTGAGTGAATCGCAAAACACAAAACGATTGGAGTTCGATTGAGTTCAATTGATTTCAGTTTGGTGCTCATTTAATTGTTCCATACATTTCAATTTAACTTTGGCTAAGCTGAGAAGTTTTACCATAAAAGGATCTTCATTACAAGGGGGTCCATTATAATGGGCTTGCACAGCGCAAGATATCAGACAAATAAACAATTCAATTTCATACCAACTGAGCTTACGAAAGTACCTCGTACTGTGTTCGTTTCAAAAGATTTTTAGCACTACACTTCGTTTTACGAACGAGTGAAAGAGTAAGCTTCACATATGCACAGTAAATGTAATCGCGGAACCAAGGGAAAGAAGACTAAACAACTTAATTACCTGGTCTATCGTCAGATCTGATTACATTGAACTCCAAGTTTATGACCAAGGCCGCGAAGAGGCTGAGTACCAGACGGCTGAACTTCGATCACAGGCTCTCTTTGCTGTGCCTCCCTTATCGTTGCATATTCAAAGCATTTAAGGCTATCCGAATAACCCCTAAAAATTCTTGTAGACCTGATCATTTGATCATTGAGACCTGACCACCACCACCAACCCTCTCTAATCGTATTTTAAGGAGGCCTTCAACTGCCCATCATTTTGCCGCATTCCAGACCAGCCAGGTTCCCACTTTGCAGACTTCCACAGCGCTAAGC